ACACAACCGACAAAAAAAATACACACCCAACAAAACACAATACGAAACCTACAAAACACAACCGACAAAACACAATAAACAAACTACAAAGCACAATACACAACTGACAAAACACAATACACAATAAACAACCAACAAAACACAATACACAACCGACAAAACACAATCAACAAAACACAAATATACAACCTACAAAACACACCCGACAAAACACACAACCATTCATGACCATAACGATTAAAACACAAATTCTCTCCTTGTAAGTTAAGTACAAGTATGTAGATTGTAACAGGTTCTAAACATTACAACTGGCCATAAGACAGTGTTCCAAATTCTGACTTCGAAAATATGAGTTTCACGAACGCCCTGTATATATTATGGAAATTTGAACATATATATTTCAATTTGAATTCAATACAGGTCGTTTAAAATAAAATGAGTAAAGGGAAATAATTGAAATTTCCATAACTTGAGTTATGCTTTCCAATGAAATTAAGTATCAATTCATTAGTTTCCTCTGGCAACACGGAATTGCTTTTCCTTAAACTTTTACGGAAAATCATAAGTCAAAGATTTCTTCAAGCTAAAGGAACGTTCGCCAAACATGGGCCGGTTATATCGATCGTTTATATTCCTGAAGTGAATACTAACCTTACTTTTCATAAAGCAAAGACGTACGTTGTATTATCAACAACACTCACAGCATAAAATTCACAGCACAACACAGTTATTGCTTATATATACCGCCCGGTATATATGATATTGTAATACGTTGGTTTGAAACTTTTTCTTTGTTCTTCAAACCGTTAAACTGTAATGGAAGACAAGTATTTGTTGACTCATTCAGCCCTGATATTTCGTAATGAACTATTGAATTGGAAGAGTTCAAATGTGTCCTCAGGGGTGAATGAGTGAATGGAATGTCACAAAACACGGTACAGATTTTCATCGGGAGTGTGCTGTACGCAAACCAAAAGCACAATAGGTTTTGTAATATCAGAACGTTCCTGGTTTATGAGATCACAGAAATTGCTGGGTTACATTTTATTCAAAGGAACCAATTAATCAGATGGTAACATCTAGTCTATTTCATGCAATAGTATACACAAACTCTATACTCAGTAGGAGCTCAGTGGTATTATTTATGTACGTTATTGTTGCTAATCTATCGCATAATTAATTAGAATTTTTTCAACTTTAATTGGCGATTTCTATTTTAGTTCTATTCACCCCTAAACGAGCGGTCAAGCACAACATGGTAAAAGAAAATCATATGCCAGTTTATAGGTATAGTTTGTGGTACTGGTAAGTTCTGTATATATACTCTGCTAATTCACCTTTACTGGAGTTTGTTTTAAAAGTTAAAGGGTGATAATTTTGCAAGGCAAATTATGGTTTACAGAAAACTGTGTAAGTACTACAACCTTAAAATTGATGTTTTTTGTTGAAATAAATATCTTGTTATTCCATGTGTATAATATATGCTGTATATTCGCCCTTCACCAGCAAAGTCAATATTAGCCCTGTGTTTATTTGCCCATCACATGTAATGTACAAATATATTAGATGCTGTGTGCTAATCTTTGTCAAGATAAACTTTCTTTAATTAGGCAGGGTGAAAAAGTTGGAAATCAAAATGTGACAAAAATGTCCTTGTACACTGTATATCCTATGACTGAAACTTGGCATTTCTTCATATTAAACATGAAAGTTAAAGCATGTATGCTAAGCTTCATTACAACACCAAATCTTTTCTTACTTAAACAAGTTTTTAATTAATGAATAACAAAAAGTATTTAGCTTTCAACAAAGAAATCTTTTCAATATTAATCACTACAGAATGACACCTAATGGAATATACAAATATTGTATGATGACAAAAAAGAAAAAAAGTTCTGTTGAGACCAAATACACACCAATGGAATAGCCTCTGGTCCTATAACATGTAAACATCATTGAATGTAGCCCTGAATACAGAACAGGAGGCCCTGGGAGCCTTATCTCTCACAGGATGACAGTGTTCTCCCCAGGCTGTTTTTGCAGCATGGCACCATGCTCCTATAATTTCTTGCCATGCTGCTTTCCTAGATCTTCTCTGCTATATATTCATAGTAAATCTAAGGTTACCATGCTGCTTTGATTTTACATAGAGTGCTGCATTAACAGAAATATTGAAATACCATGCTTCTTTCAAAACATTCTGGGGAGAACACTGGATGATTTAGTAATCATGGTAAAATATTCTTATTAAAAGTAATTATATAAAATTGCAGATATTTTTTCTATCTCTCATGTGATCAGCACCAAGAGGAACAATACCTTTCCTTCATATAAGAATGATTCCCTGGGCCCAAGGATGCTTCAGAGCAAATTGGTTGAAACATGATAACATGTTTTTCAGGAGAACAAGGTATTTAAAGACTTAAATGCCGAAGTTATCTCCCTTTGAAATTTTGCTCCTCAGCTCCATTCTTCATTTGTACATTTGGTTCCATCTTTCAAAGGACCAAACTATGCTTCTTTACATATTTGGTTGAAATTTATTTAAATATGGTTATGGGAACCCTGGGACTTCTCATGTAAAGCCTGGTTAATGATCACAGGACTTAAGTCCCAAGGGCTGGGGCCAGACCCCTGGCTTATCCTGGTAGATCTAGAACTATGGCATTTTTCTCATCATGCAATAAAGACATTTAAATAATGTTTTTAATTATTTTAATCTTTATTCTTCTTTTATGTGATACATGCACACATAACGTTGTTTGCCGTGATGAATGATAATGTTGTTATCCTATTTTCAATGTTCTTCTATCAATAATAGGTTGCTAATTGGAAAACAGTTTTAGAAAGTCAGCTACCAGATACCCTTGCCAGTTGGATCCAAGTGCTAAGCCTGGTATGTATCATGCTCGTGTTCGTCTATTCATGCCCAGCAAATGTTTTTATAATTATATGGTATGTGTTTCAACTGTTACCATGTCATAACCCAGGGACAGCCTTGAACCAAAGGCCAACCCGAGTAACATGCATGGCTGTATACATCTTGCTGTGTCCATCATGTTTGTATAGAGTAGTGTAGATTTCAATAACTTTTAAATAGTAAATAAACAGCTGTTCAACCTAATGTTTGCTATGGGGCTCCAATGCTTTTACCCTTGGGTTCATGCTAACTTCTATATACAAAATATGATTACCTTGCCCTAGTTAAATATACAGCCATACTCTGCAGCCATACTCTGCAGCCATTTTGAAGTGGTAGCATTTCAAAGCAAAATTGCCATAAATTCACATTTTAGCCCTTATCCTTTTGGCTCGAGGGAGACAAACTCTCACTTTGTAAAACACGCCCAAGGATGCTCCAGTTTGGTTAAATCTGTTTATCAATATTACTCTGTGGGCCCTGGCACACTCTTTACTATACTATCCAGGGTCTTCATGGCCCAACAATGTTCCAGACCAGAAATTCAGTTACAGCAACAGTCCACTGTCATTCTGGAATAGTAGCTAGGGCTTTAGAGAAAACATGACACCACACCAAAGCATGAGCTTACTTGGTCTATGAGGCCGGGTGATCATGAGTAATTAACCAGTGGTATTTGATAATCACCTTAATATCTAACAAGATTCAGTAAAAAGTATGACCAGATATAAATTAATGCCTCATACAGGTATATTCATTTGAGGTAAAGTGAAGACAAACATTATTCCATTGAACACATTTCTAAAAACACCTCTTCAATTGTCTACTAATCAAATAATGCTGGCATTTATTAAAAGGAGAAAATATTGTTTTAAAGAATATCTTGATAATCATACTGTTTGTCACACAAAACTGTATGGAGTCTTGATAAAATCTTTATCATCCATTAGTCTCTAATCAAATGACCACTCAAAGATTAGTGTACCGTAACTAACCAACGCAAGAATCCACTGTCACTTGTATTTATCCCTAATCCACACAGAATTCATTGGTCTAAGACTGAAGAGCCAGTCCATGGTTAGCTCCACTGATCCACATGGAATTCACTGTCTGTTGTCACAGATTCCACAAGTCTCAGAGGAACCAGTCAATGGTTAACTCCACTGATCCACATGGAGTTCACTGTCTGTTGTCATAGATTCCACAAGTCTCAGAGGAACCAGTCAATGGTTAGCTCCACTGATCCACATGGAGTTCACTGTCGGTCGTCACAGATTCCACAAGTCTCAGAGGAACCAGTCAATGGTTAACACCACTGATCCACATGGAGTTCACTGTCTGTTGCCACAGATTCCACAAGTCTCAGAGGAACCAGTCCACGGTTAGCTCCACTGATCCACATGGAATTCACTGTCTGTTGTCACAGATTCCACAAGCCTCAGAGGAACCAGTCAATGGTTAACACCACTGATCCACATGGAGTTAACTGTCTGTTGTCACAGGTTCCACAAGTCTCAGAGGAACCAGTTAATGGTTAACACCACTGATCCACATGGAATTCACTGTCTGTTGTTACAGATTCCACAAGTCTCAGAGGAACCAGCCCATGGTTAGCTCCACTGATCCACATGGAATTCACTGTCTGTTGTCACACATTCCACAAGTCTCAGAGGAACCAGTCAATGGTTAACACCACTGATCCACATGGAATTCACTGTCTGTTGTTACAGATTCCACAAGTCTCAGAGGAACCAGTCAATGGTTAACTCCACTGATCCACATGGAGTTCACTGTCGGTTGTCACAGATTCCACAAGTCTCAGAGGAACCAGTCAATGGTTAACACCAATGATCCACATGGAGTTCACTGTCGGTTGTCACAGATTCCACAAGCCTCAGAGGAACCAGTCCATGGTTAGCTCCCCTGATCCACATGGAGTTCACTGTCGGTTGTCCCAGATTCCACAAGTCTCAGAGGAACCAGTTAATGGTTAACACCACTGATCCACTTGGAGTTCACTGTCTGTTGTCACAGATTCCACAAGCCTCAGAGGAACCAGTCAATGGTTAACACCACTGTCTGTTGTCACAGATTCCCCAAGTCTCAGAGGAACCAGTCAATGGTTAACACCACTGATCCACATGGAGTTCACTGCCTGTTGTCACAGATTCCACAAGTCTCAGAGGAACCAGTCAATGGTAAACACCACTGATCCACATGGAATCTTCTGCTCCCATGGCCAGTGACTCAGATGATTTTTTCCTGTTAATCTCGGCTGTAAATCATGACTACTTCTTTTTCTATGATCAGAAAACCTATTCTGTTACTAACATTTTTATTTCTTTGTATTTGACAGACGATGTTCCTTCAAGCATTTAGTCATACAAAACTTGTAGTCACTGTATTCGAATGGTACTTTTCCTGTCATGTCTTTGCCACACTGGAAACATCGACTGTAAGAAAAACCAACATATATCACTGTTTAATCCACACAAAGATTGAAGCAATCAGATGCTTAGAACTTATGTTATCATCCAGAAAGTAACTTGTGGATTGACAGACAAACAAAGTACTGTGAGACCCTGATAAGCAGTATTCACAAAACCTTTTTTTTGTCTTGAAATAGTTTTGAGATCGAAATTGCCATTAAAGCTGACTTTTGTGGGTCGTCTGGTTTGTGGTAAATAAGTACCAGTAATAGAATGTTTTTCTTTCAGCCTTTTAGGCCTAGGGCTGAGAAAAGTGTCCAAGAGGGTTCCACTTCTCTTCTGACAATTGTGTTCAATCACACATTGATGACACACTGAACTTAACTTCCAGTTCATGATCAAAGATTTTATTGCTGAAATGTAGTTTAGACATTTATTCAAGATTCTTTTCATAATCTGAACAATAGCTTCAACATGAAAGATAACAGCTTTGTTCTGGAATGTTACAAAAATTACCTTAAAACAGGAGCTGGACCTCCTTCTACCACTGTCTGCTTCAGCAAACGTTTCTCTGCAGCAAGAGCTCGCTGAAGGAGACAGAAAGTGCAATTATAGATATATATATAATATAGACAATACCATAACAATTGCTGGCACCTGAGACCAAGATATAATGTAGGTTTATAATGCTTTAATCATGCAATGATTTTCTATCTTAAAAAGGTCAACATTATTTTCAAGAAGTATTTCTTTTTAGTTGTAGACATATATTGGGAATATTATGCAGTGACTGAGGAAATGGTATTTAAAGTAAGCTGTTTAATTTGTACTGACATTAACTGTTTGTCCTCAACAAGGAGAGAGAATGGGACAAAAACAAAACTGTGACAAATAATTCAGTACTGTCTGGAGATTAAAACTGATATAACAGGAACATTCTTGTATGTCGTGACTGCTACCTGTGGGTTTGATACGATAGTAGTACTGTGTGAGGGATTGTCCTCAATCATTATAAACCAGACACTTCAGGCCATGTGAGCTAAAACTATACCTACCTTTTCTCTGTCAGACAATGACAAGAATCTAGATTTTTCTGTTTCTTCCTTTTTCTTCTCTACCTCTTCTGATCGCTTTTCCTGTTTAATCAACATCAATGGATCAAAAGTCTTCATCAGCCTATTTTTAAACTCATTGAAATTTTCAAATAAATAAAGAATTTGAAGAAAAAAGAATATGTAACCTCACTTATATTAGATTTCAGATTTTCTTTCCAACACTCGGACACAAGAAAGTGTGTAACATGAGGTATATGTACATAAATTAATATCTATTTGTGAATGCTTCTGCTTGCAATTACGCATCAAGTACCAGATACCGAACATTTTTGAATTTTAAAATGACAAAAAGCAGATAAAAAGTGTCCCCATGTCTCAATGGAATTTGATTAATCTTTGTGAAAATCATAAATTGAGATATAGAGATGGACTGCTCTTGGATTCATGTGGAATTGAAATGTTTTATAGGTCTTGGCTACTTTAAAAAGATATAATTAGGAAGACAGTTCCAGAAATAAACTTGCCTCTAGGTGAGATTTTCTGGAGCACTAACAGACCTTTGTTTCAATATTTCATAAGATTTTTGTCCCTTAAAATTACATTTAAACATTGTAGTTTTGTTTGTCAAAGATTTGTGGAGAAATATAAACCATGATGTGTTAAAAAATATTGACTGTTATTGATGTTACGAAGCATCTTTAATTCTTAAAGATATTTCACGAACAGTTCTTCATAAATTCACAAAAAATCACTTTGAACATTTTGTTGGGTGAATTCTTACATGCATGACTGCTAGGGATTGGCCCGGACCTCAATGGCCTGCCAATCCAAAAACGAAATAAAAATGAGGCCTAGTTGTCAAAACAAGAGTTTTTGCATATTAATCTAGCAGTAATGTTTTTTTCATTGTCCTGTATAAAGCACAAACCCATTTTTTGAGTCATAAATTGTGTTGGCCTCCTGGGCTTAATGCAGGATAGATATATATATAAGGGAAAGGGAAAAAAAATGGCAATAACTCGGACAAAAATCTATGGGATTTTAGCAATGAATGTAATGCAATAGCTGTACTGTATTATAGTGTACAGTGATTCCAGTAAAGACTCATTGGTGGCATTTACCTTCATCTTCTCCTGCTTAGCCTTTTTCTGTATCTTCTTTCTCTCTGCTTCTTTCTGTCTTCGCTCTATTTCCATTTCTGCTGTAAGCGGACTTGGAACCTATTGGAGATCAATGTAAATTCACCTTTTTATGTAATTCATAAGTCTATAGGATCTTCATCTGTATACTTACATCATTAATTGAATATGACTGTATGCCAGGAAATTTTAACTGCAATGACACTTTCACCTTTTCTGTCCTTCATAATGAGGACTAACTTATCAGGACATTAGCGAACAGCATATACACGACATGTATACCTGGTATATACTATATGGTATATACTATACATATATAGGAATAACATGTGAAGGGCTCAATTAACACTGGGCAAATATAGCCAAAGTTGGACTGGATACAACTTTCCGTATATGCAGTAATCGCACACACACAGCCTTTAAATACCATGATCAGATCTGCACTTGTACCAGAACTCAGAGATGTATGTTAAAACTAATATTGGTACCTTTAGCCTGAAGAGGCCCTAGTGTCATAAATGTTTCTTAACTTAAGGAATTCCCTTCACTAACTACTTCCAAAGGGAAGCATTGCAGGAGTTATGGAAAAGTTTTGAGCTACAGAAAAACATAAGTTAAGGAATTGACTCAAGGAATATTTGTAAAACTTGGGCAAGATCTATCATTATCACTTTGTAAGTTTGAATTTGTAAAAAGTGACCCCCTTCCCTCATTTGTGAGCTCCTCAAGCATTGTATGTGCTACTCTAAAAATCAACACCTGTTAAAACTCACCTGTGCAGCCTCATAGTCGTACTTATGGGGAAACGCAGCCATAAACCGTCTGAACTCATTCCTGACCTCTTTGTTAGAGGTACTGGTAAAGGGTGTCTTACCAAACTTATCTCTGCACAGAAAAGTAATACATGTATTAGTAATATTATATACACACAGGTTTTTCTCTGATAATAGTAAAAGGGGCCATTTTTCATGTTCATAATTACCAGGTAGTGTAAAAGTTTGTTTGTTATTTTCATAATTATGGTATGTGCACTTGTGAGTTCTATTTCACCTGTTAATATGTTTAACATGCAATTATTCCTTGTTATTATTTCTGTAGCTTTTCTCAATAAATATCCACATTATTTTCACATAGTCTTCAGTCAAGTAGCTATAGTAAAAGCCTACTATGTGATAACAGTCTCACTTTATGTTACATTTAATGACTTAACATGCTGTGTGCATAGTCTGCAGTTGTCAATCACAACAATGTTTCCTCTGTCTCCCTTGAGTTTGAACTGAATGTATAGCTGTGTGTGTAAAGACAAGCTTTGACTTGACTCTGATAGATGTAGTCACAATGATTTGATGTGGCAGAGTTTTACTCTGCCAAGTATAGGCTTAGAAGATTCTGCCCAATAATTCTGCACTTCTTGATACAAAGGAACATGCATAATAATAATAACAATATTGTATTGTTTCACAACTGCAGACTATGCCAAAATATTGGCAAAGTTGAAGGCAGAGTGCTCTCCCCTTCAGGAATAGTATCGACTATCTACAAAATGCAACACCATCACATATATATATATCTGTTTACCAACACATGTACAGACGGCTTAGCCTGATACACAGTGTGAACTTCACCACCAGTAACATTCATTCTTGAATTTCGCCTTTCCTTACTGTACTTAAACCCAGTCAAACAAACTCCTAATTTCAATACTCACTTGACTGCAGGATCGGCTCCGGACCCCAATAAAGCCTTTATCACTTTCTTATGTCCTTCCTTTGCAGCCACATGGAGGAGAGTTGTAAGTTGGTCTCCTATTGGTTCATTTAGAATTGCCACGGAAACCATAGGCGACATCATTTCATCAGGGTTACAATTTGATCCTTTTAGTTCTGTACAGGTTTCATTAGAAATATCTAAATTCATCTTCACTTTTTCCTTCTGGTTTTTATTTGAATTTTCTGTCACTTCACTGTCATCCATAATTACACTATCACTGTTGTCTATTTCCTTGTCATTTTTTTTCTCTATTTCCAATATAGAAACACCACCAGAATTACACAAATCATTAGAATTTACAAATAAAGTTGGTTCATGATCAGTTTCCTGTTTACATTGTGTTTCACTATCACCTTGTGAACAGTTTATAGAGCTAGGAGGACCAGAAGAAGTGACCGCTGTAGCTTTTCCAGTTATGTCTCCAGATGTTCCTGGTGTAGTTTCTAGAGGGACAAGCTCAGTAGAGAACACAGCTAAAAGATTTTGGAGTGTTTCAATGTCGCCAACCTTACAGGCAGTGTAAAGTGAATTCTTCAAATGATATTTTTCCTCTTCTGCATAAAAACGAAAAATGAATTAAAATGCATATAGCACTTTTAAAGATTTTTTTTTTTTTTTCACATGTAATTAATTGATCAATTTCATACAACAAACAATACATACATGATCAATAAATGCCTCCTGAAAACCAAAATATCCACATTTGAAATAGACCTAAAGTCTGATTGGAAGTTTGACCTTGAGTCAATGACATTTTTCTTACATTCACAGAAATTTTCATTTTTTGCACTTGTGGTATAATAAATGTGAAAGTAAATATACAGCAAATTTTCCGGTCAAACAGTGAGAGAAAACCTTTGAATCCAAGTTTTAATTAGTCTACAACAATTGTGAGTGGTGTTTAGTTATCCTAGTGTGTCCAACAAAAAGATGTGTTAATTAAAGCTGGAAACAAACAACAAAACTTCACCTAAAGCATCAGATTCCGGGGCAATTTGGCGTTTTAAAGATGGATGGCGTTTGCGAGCACGTTGTTTTTGGGGTCTGGGTTTGCGTGTAGCTATGAACTCCTTCAGGTTCTCAGTAGACAACGTCTCCATAGTCTCCACCAAGTCCGTGTCACTGGCAGTAGATGCTCCGGACGAGAAGGTCTGGTTTTCCTCCTGGCGAATAGCATCTGTCAGTATAAAGACACATCTTATCATACACGTCTATCTCATGGATATGACACAATGAGCAAAGGAGATTTATTAGCACTGTACACTTTTATCTGGTTTACATACAGGATGATAAGTTTGGCTTCTTCACTAAATTTTGTTTGTTTGTAGGTGGAATTATTTTCATGGTACATGTACTAGGAAACATGTCCTACAAAATATGAGCTGTGTATTCTGATACCCTGTCTATTATAACCAATATATTGTGTCCAAAATGTGTCAAATTAAGCAGGTTTTGTTGTATAAGAAACAAATATCAACTATAAGTTTTGCCTTTTTTGTGTTCTTTTTTTTCTGTTTTAAAATTTTCGTGATTTCTTACCCAAAAGTTCCAACTGTTGACACTTGAATGTTGGCCTGGTTTTATCCTCTACAGAGTCAGGTCTCTCAGATGTTTTACTATCACTGTTAGCCAAAGGTGAAGTTTTTAGCCTTGCTTTGTCCTTGTTTTTTCTGTGTCTTGGAGATGTTTGGGGGTCATCTGGTACAACTTCAAGATGGCCTGTTTCTGCGCTGAAGGTGACAGCAGGTGAAATTGGAATAAAATCACGAATGTCAGCCTCTTCCCCTGTAAAAAAATTATGTACGTTCTGTACTGTTGCCAATTCATTGAGATTGTAAACATTTCTAGTCAGAGTACATGCAGATTTAACAATTAATTCAACTTTGTGTCACTGTGTATTTTCAAAATATGAATACAACATCGTGCAAATTAATGTTAATGAAAACCAAAAACATAAGAGATTCTTCAATCTGATTTCTGTTTTAGGTATTTATACATAGCTGTTCATTACCCTTGTCCTTCCTGTCTGTTTGGATGAAGATGAACTAAAATCTTGATGTATTTAAAGTTAATTATATAAAGAACAACAGTTAGAGCTTTAGAACTACATGTAGGCTGTAGATAGGACCTTATGGAATAATTACTTGCCCATGTATCTCCAAATAAAGAAGTGAAACATTTTTCTTTATAAAAGAATACCACAGGTAGTCATTGCGGTGAATTCTTAAAGGTATCCCTCTAACTGTGCTGTGTTTTACAATATTCCACATACAAAAATTAAATTAGATGCTGATAATCAATCTTTTATTTTTTTTAAATTATAAATAATGTTCTGAAATAAACATAATCCATATGATTATTTGAATACCTTTTTCAGAGTCTGACACACGCTATATACCCTGACACTGGGAGTCAATCCCAAACCACCCGTGTTAAGTGGAGATCAATACTGCCAAATACTCTCAACCAAACAACTGCCCGGGCTTGGAATCAAAAGCTCACAGAAATACTTTGAATAGCAATGGATAAATACCATAAAGGAGAAGTAATCCATCTCACCATAACATTCAATGGAACACAACACCTCATGGACTCTTCTGACTTCATTGTGTGTTGGTCGCCGTGCGGCAAACGGTATCATCCTGATACGCTCATCTTTCTTCTGCAATGGTGGTGTCTTTCCAGAGAAGAAAATTCTCTTGTTAAAACTCGGGGCTCTAAGGAAAATGAGGTCACACTTGTTGAGCTGCTCAGACCAGGATGAGATCAGTTCATGTACCTCCTGTTGAAGTAAGGTGACACATTACAGAAATACCATTCCTGATTATCTTTAAGAAACATGTTATTTTAACTATAAAACATTAAGTGAAAAATAGACAACAAACGATTTTAATGTTGATGTTGTGTGTGTAATACAATGATTAGACTTACTTGTTTTGATGATCAATAACAAGGAATATCTAAGCTTCATCCCAAGTCAGAGTAAACCCTATTCTGAGATGGACTGAGCCTAATTAGCTTACATTAGCAAAAGTGTACAGCTTCACCATGGTAAGCACATTGGCCTTTCCCTGAGAGAGCTAGGGTTCCATTTCCTGATTTTCTGGTTGAATAAAATTTTGATTTGGTTTCATAATTACCATAAAACAAATGAATGATTATTATGTTTCTCTTTTTTCATTCTGATCTGTACTCACCTCTTTGAGGGCTGCCTCATTGTATCGGCGTAGGCTTGCGCCAGCCGATTTAGGAGCATTACCCTGAGAGTCTCTGCTGCTCTGAGCAGTCCCACGTTTGGCTCTCACCACGTATCGATGGAAGGTCTTGTGCACCAGAATCTCATTCCTGCAAGAAAATTAGTTTTTCAACATTTTGAATCTTGTGTTATATATTCCACCATAATATATATAAGCATCAATCATGAATTCAAAACATCACAAAAACAATTATCTAAATATAACAAAAGCCATACATGTTAAATGAATCCCACACAAACAAGTGAAGACAGGTGCTTTCGAAAAATTATTCCAGATCAAAGTTTAAATCATTTAAAATATGATATTATGAATAAAAACTATTTTGTTAAATCATAATCAGATTACCATGGCCAGACAAAGCACTTTGCCAATTTGTCAAATAAAATCCATATTTAGTAAATATGTAGTTTCTTTAATATTCATATGTACAGACTACACAGGGACATCTGTTTGAAGAAAGAACTGAAAAGTGCTCAACAAAATGAAACTATTTTCATCAACAATTTAGTTACAGTTGTTATTCTACCATCTACATGGATTCTGTGAGGGACCAGTAGGACAGTCATTTATGTAGAGCCTAGCTAGGTTGACAGACTCACTTATCAAAAATGGCTGCTGCAAAATGACCTCCGGCAGCCATTAGTATGGCCCAGGTCATATGGTGAGGAGCATTTGTTGCCATGGTAGCCAGGTCGTTGAGTGAGGTTGGCTGATTCTGTAAAATGATTGGAAAATCAAATCAACTTCGTTGTAAAACTATTTTTTGTTATTCTTGTGACATGATTTAATATGTAGATCTTAGTACATTTGTATTTATAAAACCTTGTGACAGGATTTAATATGTAGATCTTAGTATTTGTAAAACCCAAGTCACCTATTACAATATGGATAGGGGTCATCTTATAACCATAGTTGGATAATGCCAGATAGGGTCAAAATCTTAATTCTGAAAAAAAGAGGGTACACAGTCGTTATAATTAGTTTAATATCAGAGTTTGATTAGTCATATGTCACAGTATAGCTGGTACTTTAAGAAGAGCATTGATTTGGAGGGGTCAAATCTTGATCACCAGAATTTGAACTGCCAATATACATATATTTAAAGAAGGATTAGTCCATTCGGGAGAACAACCATACAAGCTTGGCAAGGTTAAGGAGACTAATGCATACACCCTGGTAAAATACTAGCCGCTCCCTATCAACTCAGCTAGCTGGTAGAGCGTAAGACTAGTAAGTTATTATACTCAGCTAGGGAGAATTTGGTTGAGCGTAAGACTAGTAAGTTATTGTACTCAGCAAGGGAGAATTTGGTAGAGCGTAAGACTAGTAAGCAAGGGAGAATTCGGTAGAGCGTAAGACTAGTAAGTTATGATACTCAGCTAGGGAGAATTTGGAAGAGCGTAGGACTAGAAAATTATCACACTCAGCTAGGGAAAATTTGGTAGAGCATAAGACTAGAAAGTTATCATACTCAGCTAGGGAAAATTTGGTAGAGCATAAGCCTAGTAAGCTTGGGAGGGTTTGGTAGAGCGTAAGACTAGCAAGCAAGGGAGAATTCGGTAGAGCGTCAGACTAGTACGTTATTATACTCAGCTAGGGAGAATTCGGTAGAGCGTCAGACTAGTACGTTATTATACTCAGCTAGGGAGAATTCGGTAGAGCGTATGACTAGTAAGTTATTATACTCAGTTAGGGAGAATTTGGTAGAGCGTAAGACTGGTAAGTTATTATACTCAGCTAGGCAGAATTTGGTAGAGCGTAAGACTGGTAAGTTATTATACTCAGCTAGGGAAAATTAGGTAGAGCTTAAGACTAGTAAGTTATTATACGCAGCTAGGGAGAATTCGGTAGAGCATAAGACTAGTAAGCTTGGGAGGGTTTGGTAGAGCGTAAGACTAGAAAGTTATCATACTCAGCTAGGGAAAATTTGGTAGAGCATAAGCCTAGTAAGCTTGGGAGGGTTTGGTAGAGCGTAAGACTAGCAAGCAAGGGAGAATTCGGTAGAGCGTCAGACTAGTACGTTATTATACTCAGCTAGGGAGAATTTGGTAGAGCGTAAGACTAGAAAGTTATCATACTCAGCTAGGGAAAATTTGGTAGAGCATAAGACTAGTAAGCTTGGGAGGGTTTGGTAGAGCGTAAGACTAGTAAGTTAGGGAGAATTTGGTAGAGCGTAAGACTAGTAAGCTAGGGAGGGTTTAGTAGAGCGTAAGACTAGTAAGCTAGGGAGAACTTGGTAGAGTGTAAGACTAGTAAGCCAGAGGTCCCAGGTTCAACTCTTAGCAGAGGCATTTAAGAAATAATGACCTCTGTTACAGTAATCAGTTACATGCAAGTCATGCAGTTTGTAACCAAGGTTACCTTTTGAAGTGCCTCTGCCAGAAATTGAACCTAAAACTACAGATTACTAGTAAAGTGCTGAAAAAATTCTCTCTAGCCGAGTTTGCAATTACCCCCATACAGGTTACTCGTGTGATACTTACATGAGTGTAACATGTATGTTAAAACGTAATATAACACATCTGTTGTGTTTTTTACTTTTTATTTTTATTACACTGGAAAAGTACTACATTGTACTACTGTGATCATGACTAACTTTAAAATAGTGAATGTGAAAGGAAATGAATAGCAAATTTGACTGATACCCAATAATACACCATAGGAAACAAAAACAAACACATTGATAAAAAATAAATAGTCTTAGTTGAATGACCACACGATATATGGGCCTGTGTATGTAAAGCAATCTTGGTATTATCTGTGTAACCTTTCTCTGACAAAACCATCACTCATCTTTCAGAACCCTTTGTTCATGACATAAAAGTACAGATACTTCAGAAGTGTATAAAAGGATCTATATATTTTCTACTTTAGTCAAGTACATTTTATCATGTCACAATTTTCTTCTTTGTCTCAGAAAACTGGCCAATTGCACCAGTTTCTACTAATAACATTACATGGGAATGTCTTTAGTTTTTCATTAATGTTCACCTTCTTGTGGTACAGGATACATCTGTAAATTGATATCAGCTCGCCATCTTTGTTGCGGAAGAATAATTTGGGGAATTTCCTTGATGCATCATCAACCACACTAGGCAACTCCGACTCACTCTCATTGCTGCTGCTACAGGAGTCTACTTGGTGTCTCAGATAGGCTGTTATACCGCCTGGCTTCGGGCGCAATTTTCGCTTTTCTCCATCCCCAATATCTGAGTCATCAGTTTCCGATTCTGAACCAGAAATGCTGGATACACATGCTAGAAAACAAACACCAGAAATTTAAATTCCAAGACTAACACATTCTACACATGCATAAGGCTTCCTTTTTCTTAAAAAGCTCACATAAATATACCCCACCCATGACGTGGTCAAGTGTTACCTTAATTTTGACCTTTAAACATTGACTGATGACCACCAAAATGTAATCAGGTGTAGAACTTGTTGTTACCATATACTATGGTGTAAACACATGACATTGCATAAACTAAATGGATTGGGGGGTTTGTATTATGTTGTTTACATTCTTCTTCCTTCAAAATTGGTCAGGAGTAACCTTTGACCCTTTCATATCAACCATTAATCTCAGCTCTCTATTCAGGTATAGAACTCCATACTGTGGTGCACATATTTACCAAATCTGTTTAGAGGTGCATGTGATCTCATACACAAGCTCGTTTCTGCAGATGGATGGAAGCACAGACTCACTGACAAAGAAATGGCTTCATGTACAGGGATTATATATCCTGGAGGGGCTATGGGGCCATTGACCCCTCAACATTGAAATTGACCCCTCTTAGTTCCAATTTAAATTTTAAATTTTCTTTTAGTTTAACATAGATTGGCCCCTCCTAATTTTGATATTGACTAAAAATTCCTGAAAAATGGCCCATTGCTCTCAAATTCCAGGCTTTTCCCTGCATGTATATAACCATCATAAATGATAGTGTGTGTGTGTGTGGGG